AAGTGTAAAACAGAAACCTATAACGCTTCCTTACAAAAACACTACCCTGACGTAACTAAAAATCTTAACACGGGCCATCACAAACAGACCGGTACTCCCATGAACTGTCCCGTGAAGACATCAAAGCTGCGTTTGCGCAGGGCGCATCGAGCGCACTCGGCTATTTTCGAAACATGTCGGTAATTAATTTTTTGTCACGGCCTGTCGTCCTTTGTTGTTCATAGTTAAAATTCAGCCATTTTAAAACAAGCTTCTGTAAGAAAGTTACGACGTTCATATACCTACTTATATTATTTAAAATGTGTTTATAGATATCCATTCGTTTGATTTTATAATTAACTAATCTTGAACTTCAGTTCTTTTTCAAAAATTAAGGGGCTCTTATAGAATCGGTTAACTTAAATATTCAAATGGTATACCGCCTCTTTGTGCGTACAAGCAAATGACGTCATCAATCAATCTGCTTGCACCGCAGTATCGAATGTTTATCCAAGCAAATAAATAATACAACTCCAAGAACTAACTCAATGGTTTAGCTAAAGTAAACAATTTCAACCATGAATACTTCACAAATAAGCAGTCTTTAGTCTCTATTATGTAGACAGAAGGTTTAAATTCGTATGTTAGATGTGATCTTGGTATTTATATCAATGGAAACCCTTGTATGTGATCCAAAAACATCCGATGGCACTCAAGCGAGCAAATGTTTGTTAAGGGGATGTTTACAAACCACTTTTAATCCATAAAGGCTTGGTTTATTATTTCAAGACACGTTTACCTTGGTAAAGGAAGATATTCTTTTTTAATAAAATAAATTCTCATTTCAATCATAAAACGATTATTTAATAGATTCATGTATAAATCAGCCTGTGATTACGACCTTCGACATCTGGTCAAAACGTGAGACTGGTCTGTCGTTCTAGTTGGCAGAGATAGAATTTCTGTGTTCGATTCGCACCCAAGACAAGTATTTGTGTTATGAGCATGATCATTTGTTCTGTTACTAGGTATAATATGGTTACCACCTCCGTGTGGTGACGGATTAAGAATACGGAATGTCGCCATTTATCCCGTGGGTGTTGTAAGAGCCGCCTAAGGGCGCAAACTACCCAGAACAACAGCACTGTAAACTCAAACTCAAACTCAAAAACTCAAACTCAAACTCAAACTCAAACTTTCTTTATTTCATAAAATTTTCAAAATTGTTTGAAATCGTCTTCCATGTAGACTCTAAAGTCATAGATCAACACACACAAAAGCAACAATCTCTGTTTTGTCAAATAGTAACCAAATAAATTTAACAAAATCAAACCCATACAAAATCTATGATATGCCTGTGCCGATCTACAACCGCCCGTTTCCAAGGGGTTGAGCCTTATGAGAAGAAAGGGCAAACAAACTCATGGCTCATAAAGAGAAGGAAAACTTGACACAAACCCTATACCGACCCGTCTTGCCGGCATGATATAGCAGGCCAAAACCTCCTTTCTAAGGAGAGCCTATGCCTAGCATTGGACTATTAAAGGCTGTTGATGATAATGGTTACCCTTTGGTAACAGAAACTTGCAGGAAAAGGCCTTGTGTGAAATGTGTCAAAATATTGTTAGTCTTATAATTATTTTGTTTACATATATTTGTTATATAAGTACATTATTATTTAATTATAAATCATTGAACGCGAAAGTTTGAAAGTAAAAAATAATTTATATACTCATTAGGTAATATTGAAGGAACAGTATTTCATTTTTATCATCATTATAAAGTACTGATATTTAAAATATTTAACATTTTAACATGTGATGCACATGACATGTGTATACATTTCCAGCTGCTTTTCTGACAAACGGTGATGATTGAGACCACCTGCAATTACAAGTATACATTTTATTCGTTATTAAATAAATGTCATCTTGATAGTTTTATTCCGTTAAATGATCAATTAGAAAAGTAATCTTAGTAAAACGTTATCGTAAGTACCTGAATGCTATCACAGCGTAACAAAAAATACAACAAAAATAAGCCTTACGTTTTTTAGGATATCGATATATCATATACGTACATAACATAACACTTACGTTTAATCTAAACAAATATAAAATGAGCTTAAATCAACATGGGCTTAGCCTTAACAGAAATATCACAGTCAAGCCGACAAGACAACCTTTTTCGAACGCAAACAATCGTGTTTGCCTACATATTGTTAGTTTAAAGCAAAACGTTTTAGAACGAAAAAAACTTCACTTGAAGTGTAGTCTACCGTTCTAATAGGATAAGCGCAGGTAACGATATAATAGTCCTGTACTTCAGTTAATCCTATGAAAGTGAAGTTCAGTTCCTAAAAGCTCTTTTGTTAATTTTTTAAACGCAATATGAAGTTGTTTGTTACGATTGCAGCTATTATGTCAGTACGATCTTTTAAAAGTATTTCAACATCATATTATTGAAGATTTAAATGAAGAACATTCCGTTTTTTTCTTCTTTAAAGAATAACAAATACGCCGAAAAAAACAATACACCTCTAGATAAAAGTTACACTGCAGTAATGACAGAATTAGCGGTACTTATCAAGTGAAGGGTCAACTGAGGTGCAAATTGAAGTGTTAAAAACTGATAGAGCCAGATAACTAGATAGCATATCCTATCAACCGCCAACAGCAACTTACAGATTATTCTGACAGTCAAACTACATAGCATAGACGAAGGATGAAAATTACCCAATATCTAGGTTCTGTAATCCTAACAATACGTATGCAATATTTCACGATGATTGTTTAAATAGTTAAGACGCAAAAGTGTAATAAAAAAACTTGGGTACATTATCAATTGTTAAACAATAGGAAATGTCATTCAGATTTTGACTACTGGTTACATCGACGTGTGATCAGTGATCAATTGACTGAAGAGGTTTACTCGATAATTGAATCACTCGTACACGATAAATAGGGTTCAGTAATACACATGGTTTTGTTTGACACATTGTTACTGATCATTTCGTAATCGGATTTAGCACAAATCTTGTTTCTCAAATGTTTTATTATTTATACATTGACTTTTATTCATTCTTTTTGGCCAATTGTTTTAGTTTTTTTTTATTGTCAATATTATATGTACAGATATGTTATTATAACTATTATTAGGTTGTCTAACGGAGGTTAACGGCCACTTCTTGTCATTTCGTTGGCTTTTATGGTTGTCTTTTAGCCGAGTGTTATAAAAAACCATATTCGACATTTAACCATAAACAACTCATGACAATTTTCTCATCACATCTCCAGAGAATAATAACGTCTGTTAAATTTATTTTTCCCATAATTAGAGATACGAACACATCTTCACGATTGAACGACTCCATTTCAAATTAGCCGAGACGAAATTGGTCTCCGAGTCGAGTCGTGCAATCCGTCCCAAGGCCGGTTGTTTTGTGAAATAACGTTTTTTGCGCAGCTTGCCCACCAGAAGGCAATTATCCTACAACAATGCCACAGAGGCACAGACATCCGTTGGAAAAAAAAGTCTTTCAAACGTACGCGCTAACAAAAATGAACGTCTGTCTTTTACATCGAAATAAAGACTCGTTGAGTTCACCTTTGGAGTTTCTGATTTTCTTATTACTTTTATATTACTTTGGGTTTAAATTAGAATCTATAAAGTTGTAGTATGATGTAGTTAATGTGCGAGCAGGTGCAAGGATTTCCATAAATTATTTTTAACTTGTTGATACTCATAGTAAATTGTTTGAATCAAATTATTTTCTACTTCTTTCGAAACGTATATTGTTGAATGTTCGCGATTTGCTTAACAGGAAATGTGATGAAACTTGAGTAGTTACTTAGTGAGAACTAGAAGCTACGTATCCGTTACATGCTACAAAGAATTTATATATCGATAAATGACCTTTCTGGGTGTTGTGCAAATACCGCTGGTATAGTTAATAGTTTTACTTGTGATTTAGACCAGACAATATTTACATAAGGTATTTCTACATACATACTTTCAAATACCTGTTTACACACATAAAGCGGCGTGTAATACTGTGTACGTAAGTTGTGAAAGAACGTAATAGAAAGTAGGTGGCGCAGTTAAAATATTGATGCACTATGATGTCAGATCGTAATCAACTCGATTTCTTAATCTTTTATGCAATATGCGTCAAATAAAACCCTTATAATCAATTTTAGCTTAGACCATGGGTACAAATCTTCGGCTTCTCCCTTTGATTGCGGGACATCCGTTGTCGTTGAACAAAAACGAGTCGCTCGCTCGACCTTGCCATTGTCTCTCAACCTGAAGGCCAATTCTCTTAATAAAAGTTCGGTCTCAATTGGGTTCCGATCAACTTTTGATCTCGCAACTGTTATAAAAGGGAATTTCGCAAGAAAGTAATTAAGTAATGTGATTATATCGCATTGTAACCGAAATTCGCATTGTAACCGCATTGTCCGTGTAGTGACGGATTAAGAATACGGAATGTCACTACCCCAATTCATCCCGTGGGTGTCGTAAGAGGCGACTAAGGGCGCAAAACAACGCAGGACACCAGCACTGCAAAAAGAAGGAAAACTTGATACAATCCCTATACCAACCCGTCTGACCAGCGTGGTATAGTAGGCCAAAACCTTCTTTCTAAGGAGAGGCCTATGTCCAGCAGTGGACTATTAAAGGCTGTTGATGTGATTGATGATGATGTGATGTAACCGAAAATTTTATCAGTAATCTTCGTACGTAATACTTGATTTTTTTACTACGAAAATACCTTTTATGACAGGTGTGAGATCGAAAGTTGATGGGAATACAATTGAGACCGAACTTTTATTACGAGAATTGGCCTTCTGTTGTCTTTTTATACTTTCAAGACGTGGAATACTATTGCTTCTTAACTTAAAATATTGCCCTAGTGGGAGCGGTTTAGATGTACCAACCGATTGAAATGTTGGTATCGTACACTAGAAATTGTCTGCTGCTTTGTGGCAAGTGTTATATATATTCTTTTCTTTTTTCAGATGGTTTCGTTTGCGGGTATCCTGTCAAGCGGTTGTTCGCAACACGCTCGCTTCCTGCTCTGCTCTGCCTTCGCGCCTCTGTGCTCGGAGGAAGTGTCAGGATCAGTGAGCGCCTGCAGAGCGCTCTGTGAGAGCGTCGTCGACGATTGCAAGGAACAATTGAAGGTGATGCTCCCCACCGTCATGCTTGACTGCTCAGCGTTTCCTCTACGAGCAGATCGAAGACTGTGCATGAGACCACCGAATGCCAGCGAATTGGAGCCCGAACCTCCACCACCAGCCCGCTGGCCGTTCCATGACCATGACATAAGTGAGCATGGCTGTCCTCCTGCGCATACAAGAGCGCCAACAGGAGAATGCTGGCCGGCGTGTGGTCAACACGCCAGGTATAGCCAAAATGATAAGAGGAAGGCAGAGATCTGGATGAACACACTAGCATGGTTCTCCTTACTATCTACATCATTCGCTTTGCTGACGTTCTGCGCGGAACCTTCAAGATATAGATACCCGGAGCGGCCCGTGGTGTGGATGGCAGCGTGCCATGCAATAGTAGCGCTGGCACATGTGACGAGAGGTTGGCTGGGATCCAAAATGGTGTCCTGTGCCGGTAGTACGTTAGCTGTGGACGGCCTAGCATCGCCGACCTGCGTAGCATTTTTTTCACTAACTTATTACTTCACACTGGCAGCTGATGCGTGGTTTGCAAATGCCTGCGTCGCATGGTATCTTACCGCCGCTAGTGAATGGTCAACGGAAGCACTAGAACGTGCAGCGGCATACCTTCATGCTGTTTCCTGGGGCTGGGCAGGAGCCTGGACTGCCGCAGCTTTAGCATTGCGAAGAGTAACGGCTGATGAATTGACTGGAACGTGCGGGATTTCTGACGCGGCTGCGGCCGCGTTGGTTGGCGTGCCTCGAGGCGCTCTGCTCGTGACATCAGTGGCTTTGGCAATAGGCGCGTGCCCTGGCATTATGAGGGTGCGTCGAGCGTTGGATTCCCGTGGAGCTAAACGAGTTGGCAGATTGGCAGCACGCGCGGCTGCTGCTGGGCTCTTGTACTTTATCCTAGCTGCTTTAGCTACAGGAGCGAAAGTAATTGAAGCTCAAATGAAAGAAATCAATTCAGATCAGTCAAGTTTTAAATTACTGTTAGCGTTAAACGCTGGGAAAGTAGAACAAGGTGTGGGCGCCAGTGGAGTGTCAGTGTGTTTGTGGTTATCTTGTGGGATCGCGGCTGGGGTGTGGGCATGGTCAAGGAAATCGGCAGCAGTGTGGCGCCGGGCGTTATGTCCCCCACGAAAGGCTCCGTGTTGTGCCCCTCCGTTGCTGAGGTCCCCCCACCCGTACTACAAAAGACCGTTACACGTGTCACGCGTATGATATAACGTTCTAGTGTTAGACTGACTTGTATTTATAACTTGCGTAAAGTGCCTGATTATGCCTTCTGTGAAGGCGCTCTCGATTATATGTGTACAAAACTGTAAATAATGTAAATTTTATAATATACTGTTGTTTTTTATAATGATGTCGTTTTTTAATTATCCTGTAAATCTTACTGCTAAACAGTCGATACTAGTTCAAATGAGTTGTGGTTCTCACCCAATTTTGTAAATGGCCAGTTTCGTATCAATTTTGGGTACGATCATAGCCTGAAGGAGACTAGTACTACTAAGAGAATAAGTTTGAACCCCGAAGATGAGGGGAGTATATTAGTCTCACACATGTAACTAGTTGTGACAAGGATTCAGAGGGTTGAGGTGGTTGAAATTCAAAAACCATGAAATTCGTGTGACGTAATTTATGGGTTGTCCCTTTACGTGTATTTTTTTTATTAAAAAAAGACAACTCCCGCATTAGGAATATATCCTGTGTCACGGGGGACTTTACAAACATACATGAACCGGACACAAAGAACACCCCGACATAGAACAACATTTTGTGGATCTCACTAAGTGTTGTCCCATGTGGGGTTTGAACACACAACACTCGTCGTAGTAGAAAGCGGCGTGGCGACCGCTGAAACCACTACGCCATCCGTGCAGTCATGCGTGCGTGTATGTGTGTGTGATTTAAATTTAATTAGCATCGATAGTCTACCTAATCAAAAGTATGATGTGTTAATAGTTACACTACTATTACGCTTTCTAATTATATGTGCCAAAAAGACGTAAAAGACATACAAATGCATACACAATATATACCCTTTCAGTTCTAAGAATTTTGAAATACTTAAGACACCCAAAAATAAGATAAAACGCGTTATACTTACTTATACTTATTATTATCTTTCTTTTGTAAATATTTAGGATCTCGATCTTCATGGCACAATAAATTACCTAATTAAATCGAAATCATTTGCTCTTAATTAGGAAATACAGTTTAGGATACCAATCATCAACAGCCTCTATTGGTCACTCCGGTCGAGATGGTATACTCCTACCAGCATGACTCTTCTTTCTGTTGAGATGCAGGCCCATGGGTGGTGGTAGTCACTATCAGGTGGCCCATCTGCTGGTTTACTCCTACATCATCACACATCAACAGCTCTTAATAGCCTTATAGTCCACTCCTGGACAGGCCTCTCTTTAGAAAAGAGGTTTTGGTCTAATATACCACGCTAGCCAGACGCGTTAGTATAGGGTTTGTTTTAAGTTTTCCATCTCTTTGCAGTGCTGGTGTCCTGCGTTGTTTTGCGCCCAAAAAACTAAATCAAAGTCAAAAAAAACTATTATTTTGATGGTTATTTTTTTATTAGGTAAATTCTTTTTCAGTACCCTTTTGTAGGTTCAATCTCAGAGGATACATGGGCCAGATCCATAATGGATCTGACGAGAATTTTTAATGTAAAAAAAATATTGCTTCAAAAAACTAATGCATATCACTAATTTCAACAAATGGCTATCCTGAGTTCCTAATGGTAATTTTTTGCAAAACACAAAAGATGAAGCAATGAATGAGGAGATGAGGGAAGGAGGGCAAAATCGATAAAAATAATTACAAACAATAATAGGTTTATTTTCTATGTAAATCACCACTTATTTAAAAAAAAAACAAATATTCTTTAGTGGAAATTAAAAAACAAACAATAATGTTTAACAAACAGGCAAATAACAAACAATTTAAACATAGAGGAGGGAGATGTCCTATGGACAAAGAAATCATTCACCGCATGTAAATACCCTGATCCAGTACATTTTAACTTTGACGTTTTATAATTTTCACAATGCCACAGACCAGTTAGTGCCTTTTTTATAAAGCATATGCTTCCAAGCAGATTCCATAATCTGTAGCCCTCGCATAATAGTACTTTACCACTCCCACTTTTAATGAATTTCATCACTTCATTGTATCTCAAAAACTAGGGCACCTGGAGAGGATCTGGTTTCTCCCAAATTTAGTCGCTAATTTGACGAAATCAGTTGCCAAATATCAGAACATGTCGGCCACTGGTTCAAAAGCGTTTCTAGGCAGCCTACCTTATAACTTTACTACCTACGCTTATATTACAAAAAGTAGGGCACCTAGCGAAGATCTGTTTTCTTCCAAATTTAGTCGTTAATTATTCGCAATTTTTTTGTCACAGTTCACTCGGGTCACTTAGTTTAGAAGACATTTCAATTTTTAAACTTTTGTGTGTGTGTTTCGGAATAACACCACTCGTGGACAATACTATAGGGACAATGTATAATTTTTGTACAATGTATATTATGATAATATGCTGATAATCACACAGTCATGCTCAATATTCATACCTGTAATCCATTCGCGTAAAGAAAATAGTGACGTATACCACGCCAATCAGGTTTCAGGTCAGGGTGCGGGCTTGATGGATACGTCACTATTTTCTTAACTCGAATAGACTATAGTGTAAGGCTGTAGGCACATGTTTAAGATACACACTCACCATAATAATAATAAAATAACACTCATAAAGTTTTGTTAAACACATTTTAATAATAAATTGTTAAACATTATATTACACTGATTCAGTATTAGTAAGTATATATAACTCTCTATACAAATTAAACATCGATAATTACATAATTTACATCTCCCGACTTTTCCGAAAGTTTGGTCACCCTGAACACTATAACCTACGATAATAAATAGAAGCAAAGAAATAAAACTTACTAACTTAAATAAATACAAAAATATAATGGCCTGGAATGTTATAAATAAAACAATAACTCTAAAATATTTCTTTTTTACTATTAGGCCGTCAACTTTAGATAAAATCGATTTAAATTGTCTATCAAACACATAATACCAGTAACAATAATAATTATATATATATGTAGTTCGCGGTAGCCCTGGATAGTAAAGTCCACATTGGTGTTTTTTTAATACAAACTATTTAAGAGTAATTTTTTTCACTAGGGTGGGCAGATAGACACGAAATGTTTCACGTATATATAGAACCACGTCAAAAATTAGTTAATTAAAATACAAGAGCTAATTTAGAAACATACGACTATTTTTTTCGACCTAAAGGATTTATTTATTACAAATTAACGCGAATTAAGTGATTAATAGGTAGGTATTCATACCTTTAAATAGCCTGACATTATAACCAGGTGACACTAGCCGTGGTCACAATATCAAGGTCATGTCTTGATATAAATCGTGTTAATTCCCGCCAATCAGTAATGCATAGTTGTATATTAGTTTAAAGTTACTAAATGAATTAAATTTAGAATGAGCACTAAATCAATACTTTTAAAAAAAATCATTTTTTTTCAATGTAGCAATATTATGAATATTAAAAATAAAGATACTCTTTCTTGAATACTACAAACTGATTTTTGCAGTGAATTCAAAGATAATTTATTTTTATTGTTGCATATACATGTTTTTATTTAATATATACTAATATGGGTTTTTACTGCTGGTAATGTCATTGACATTAAGTTTTATATATATACTATGTGGGTACTCTCACGAAATATATTCGGTTTTTAGAGTGTTGTGTGCACTTTATAACAAATATACAAGTAAATGAGTAAAATAACATTTAATAAATTTAATTATTTTTATATTTATCTCAGGAATAAAAAAATATAACAAACAAAAAAACAATGTCTGTCCAAGGTGTTTTGTACTGTCTGTGTTGTTGTGTCTGATAGAATTGATTCTCTGTTATAAAGTGTCATTATTCATTTACGAACCATTAGAAATTCACGCACGAATTATGTTTCATTGAACTAATGATATTGTAATATTTCCTATTGTGATGTATGTATCACGTTTATATACATACATGGAGCTTACAGTAATCAATCACCGATTGATTCATTTAAATTTTAGAGACTGCTTATGTAAGTATGAGAAATAAAAATTGGTTATTCGTTTGTAAAAGAGAATTCAGTTGTAGTACTGTTTTATTATATGATATACAATAAAGGTACGCGACCAAGTGGGTTTATTTTCCATTTTGTGTAACTGTCCACCCTGATTCCTGTATTAATACGTATTTTATCTGTACCGATTTGTGTGTGTGGTTTTTTTATATTTTTCTAGTCTAACCACCCCACTTTCAAATTACAACCACGTACCAACATCTGACTCATTTAGCTATCCTTCCTGCGTAGACATTAACGTGTCGAACACTTCGGACCCTGGAGCAATATTCTCAGTCACAGAACCAAAATAGCTCGAGAAGTTAAAAATTGACTCTTGTTTCACATTATCGGTTGAGCCAAATTGTGTTTTATTTACAGTATGCATAGGGGTTGCATTAGCGCTGTAAGATTTCTTATCTAAGAGTGATATTAAAGGATTTTTCTCTGCGATTTTAGGGTTTTCAGGATCGTATAGAGTGGCTTCTTTTGAAATATCTTTAAGTTCATTGTAGGGGTTGGTTATATACTCTGCGTAAAGTTCACTCTGTTCGACTTTCGTTTCTGGACGTACGATAGTTATGTCGAGTGGTGTGTCCGTGTGATCCACGCGCTGGGGGTCGGCACGGGGCTGGTCTAAGCACGGGGGTTCCGGTCTACTGGGCGGCGTTAGCGGTGTTTGGTCAACGGTTTGCGGGTATAGTATCGGTATTTGTGATTGAATAGACATGCCTATCGGCGTAGAAATCATCTGAAACAAATATAAATTTATTTACAAACTATTACATATTGGGTGTTGGTTTAGTAGTTAGTAATTAGACATGGGAATTATATCATATTCATTTGAGAAAATTATTGGCCTTGGTCACTGTGATTTCATCAACAGCCTTTATCAGTCCACTGCTGGGCATAGGCCTGTCCTTAGAAAGGAGGTTTGTGATTTCACCTGTGATAAATCAAAGCTTAGCCAAAACCAGTTCAAAATCAATCAAACGACCTTTTTTTTAGATTTAGACCTTTCGTGAGTCTGGCGCTTGCGTAATAACAATAATGAATCACAGTGATATTGTAGATGAGTCACAGGAGAGATGAAATGATTAATCACAGGTTATTGTGATTTTATCCCATGCTTATGAGTATTCCTAACTGTTGAGGTCGAGACTTTGATTACAATCTAGTAAAAATAATTATGCGTTGAGAACTATCAATTGTTCTGTGTCTAGTTTATAGACCTATTTCTTAGCGTTCCATGGATTCACCATGCGGGTGCCGGGTCCATCGCGTGATATATGGGGCAACACATGCGACTTCGACAGCGCCTTTTAGGGAGTACTCCTTGCGACGCGTCAGCGCTCACCTCCGCTGTCTGCTGTGTTAGCCATCTACCTAACCATATTTGATACGAGCCTGGCAATGCCACTTTGTCTTGTTAGGTCTTAAAGCAGGTTATAGAGGGATTTGGATGGTATACCCCTCGTACCCCCACAGCATAAAACTCAACGAAATAACCATTTTTAGTTATTTCGTTGGATAAGTCAAAGTACTTGTTTCTTTTTAAAGCATGGTCTTTAGGGGTGTTCGTTTCCCACGACACAGTGAGTTCCACTAGATTGATTATTATGTATGTATTTTGGAATTTATAAATTGTTAGTACCGCTCTGCCTAGTTTAGGATTAGGTGACCATGTGTTAGATATCTTCAATTATTGTTATTATCGTTTTAAAGACTATTATTAGATGACAATAGACTTTTTTTTTTTAACTGCTTAAAAAGACAACTCCCGCATTAGGAATACATTCCTGTGTCGCGGGGGACTTTACAAACATACATGAAACGGACACAAAGAACACCCAGACTTAGAGCAACAATTTGTGGATCACACAAAGTGTCGTCCCATGTGGGGTTTGAACCCACAACACTCGGCGCAGTAGGAAGCGGCGTGGCGACCGCTTAAACCACTACGCCATCCGTGCATATTAATAATGTAATATATAAATAATGTAGTTTGGGTCTATATACAACTTTACCTTTTATAACAAATGATCATGAGTATTTTAAGAATTCTTGATAAAAAGTAGATGTCTCAGTAATATAATAATATTTCGGACAATTGACACACAACGCCATCTAGTTTCAAACTAAGCAGAGCTTGTACTATGAAAGCTAGATTGATAGATGGAATACTTATAGACTTTTATTATGCATTGAAAACACTCAAACTCCGAATTTTTGCAGATCATACAAACATTTGGTCCGACACGGGAATCGAACCCGAGACCTCGCTCACGCTACCACTGCACCAAATCGAATATTATAGAAATTCGAATTATACAAAGTTCCCATTCAGTGACCTACCTCGTTCAAAGGTTGTAGCAAGACTGAAGAGGTCAAGCCCGTCTGGTCGTACAGCGAGTTCCGTATGGGCACCATACCGCTGATCGGTGTAGGAGCCACCAACGTTGGCGTATTGGCGGCCAGCGGTGGCGTCTCAACTACCGTTACCGGCGAATGAGCATTGCTTTGGCCCAATGTTGGCGATTGTGTCGGTACCGGGACCAGACGGGGGCCGTTAGCGTGGGATTGGTGCTGTGGGGAGGGAACAGGTACAATTGTTGGCGTACTGTTAGGTCCGACGGGGATCAGGGTGGGTAAAGATGGCGGGTACTGCGGCTGCATGTGGCCTGGAAGGTTCGGTGGCGGTCTGTTGGTGTTGTCTCTCACTAGAAATTAAACAAATACCAAAAATATGATACAATAGATTATTATTAATTTTAATATTAATGTATTCGAATTTAATTGGGATAATATACATATACTAAGTATCGTCAAATAATAATACTCAATACTCAATACTTTATTGCTTCCACAATGTAAATGCATAGGTGATATCAATTTAAATATAGTAACAATTATGGACCCTGACGGGCGCAGCACAGTTTGTTTGGGAGAGAGGAAATAATATTTTATTTATTATTTATCATAATAGTTGTATAATTTATGAATTTTATTATTTTAGTATTCTATCTTCAAAATACTCTCTTATGCTGTAGTAGCTTTTACTTACAAGAAAGAGTTTTAATTTTTTTGTTACTCTAGTTCTCTAGAGTTCTAATTTTTTTGTAACTGTTATATTTGTTTTATGGTTTTAGGTAACTGATTGTATATTTTGATGGACATTACAAATGGGCTGTATGAGTGCATTTTGAGTCGGGAAGCTGTGTAAATTAAGTCTATCTTTGTGTCTAAGCGTCATTTTGGTCTGTATGTTCTCTCTTTTGCTGTAATAATAAATCGTACCTTGTGGGAAAAGTTCCTCCTTCAAATTGGGCAGGAATTCGCTGATCTTGTCCCAGGTGAGATACCAGAGCTCATTGTAGCCGTCCCCGTTGCTGAATATCTACAAGACGTAAAGATTGTCGTGAGCGGTGGGTGAGGACGCGTGAAGTACGTACGGTGGGGGAAGGTACGTACCCGCACGGAGTCCATGACGAGGATCATGTTCTTGAGCGACTCGAGCGCGGCCTCTGTGAGCGGGTCGTCGGGCGGCGCGGCCAGCAGCGCGCGCTGCACGCCCAGCACGCGCGCCCACACCGCGCCGAACGTGCCGCGCGTGCTCAGCGCCGACAGGTGCTGCAGGAACACCTACGCACACCACACCATCGCTATAGCTTACATTGTCGTTGGAACCTTTGTTTTTTTTTTTTTTGGTTATAAAAAGACAACTCCCGCACTAGGAATAAATCTTGTGTCGCGGGGGACTTTACAAACATACATGAAACGGACACAAAGTACACCCAGACTCAGAACAACAATTTGTGGATCACACAAAGTGTTGTCCCATGTGGGGTTTGAACCCACAACACTCGACGTAATAGGAAGCGGCGTGGCGACCGCTTAAACCACTACGCCATCTGTGCAGTCGAATGTCGATGTCTTTAAATCATCTTCATCTATGTTCAACATGTATTTCCTCTCGTTTTTTGTATCTGTGAGAGATTTTATTTCAAAAAAGGACGGAAATGTGTAACGGGAAGTCAGAAAAGGACGCGTTATTATATTCACTAATGAAAGCGCGCAGTGCTAGAGAGTTGGTCGACAGATGGCATTAAAATAAGATTTGCAAGTTTTTTTTAAGTAAAATAAAAATAAATTATCACAATGACAAAATATTGTGTTTTACAGCCTTAATATGATTTAAAAAAATTAAACACATGTATATACCTTGCACATAATAGTATTAGCTCTAGCGGTGGTATCGGCTCGTCTGGGCAACTGTTCGAGTAGTGGGAACAAAACACTCTGGAAGCACGCCTCCCAGCCTCCTGCTCCCATCGCTGACAACCCTGGTACCAGCAGGGCTCGTTGTAAGTATGCTATAGCACTGTTCGCAACCTGGAAAACAGTACGGTTACAAATAAATACGTATTAACTACAATAAGTACATTTTAAAGTCTAACACACTCTTTTTTCTGTGGGAGAGCCATGCTTTGGCACGAATGGGCCGGCTCGATCGGAGTGATACCACGGCCTCACAGAAAACTGGTATTAAGCAATTCTTTCGTTGCCTTTCGCTGAGTGAGTGAGGTTACCGGAGCCTAAATCCCCCATCCCGATGACTCGAGCGAGAGGGACTCCAAGGGCGGCAACGCACTTGTGACTTTTGAGTTGCGGGTGTCCATAGGCGTCGGTAGTTGCTTACCATCAAGTGACCCGTCTGCTCGTTTGCCCCCTTATACCATAAAAAAACAGATTTGAAAAATATTTACTAATTAAAGATTATTTTGCCCAAGATTTTTTCAATAACTGATTACACCGCATTAATATTTAATAATAATATTTCGGACATCTCACACACAACGCTATTTTGTTATTTATAGTCAACGCCATCAAATATTTATTTATTTATAGAAAGAAAATAATGAATTCACGAGCCTTTATGTATGATTAACCGACCTGTTTCCGTCTGTCCGTACAAAACTGTGCAATTCCTTGCAGTAACGGCTTCCATGCCACTTCCCATAAGTCGTATTCTTCAGCATCTGAAACCAAAGCATTCTAGATCTTCAATCTGGTCCTGTTGGTCTACTATCTACTCATGTTCATATCTTTATTTAATAACTGAAATCCATGACAGGTATAGTCCTATTGTTTTTTAAATCTATATAATCATAGAGAGAACAAGAGACCCGATCTTGCAATGTAGAAAACGAGAGAGATGGATGATAGAAAGTTCCCTTTATCTCTTTCTAATCGAGCTCTATGGTTGGTATGGGCAATTGCTAATCTCAAGCCTGTTCTACGATCAAAACAGTGACAGAGGGAACCATCGGGCATCCATCTCTCTCGTTGAATGTATCGCTTCCACTAATAGGTAGCTAGCTGCACCCGGTATTCTCTCTATGGTTATACAATCATATGTGTGTACCAGTTGACCTATATATATTATATACATGGAGATATCTCTATGTATATAATACATAGAGGTCAACAGTGTATAATAAGGCAAAATACTAACTTGGCGCCTGGTCGGCTTCGTCCCGCCACCACTTGAAGATCTGCGCCGCGCGGCTGTGTAGCGTGTGCATCAGATCTAGGAGCTGTTGACACGATCGCAAACAATAACACACATTTAAGAATTTAAAATATATTTTTATAAGGGTTTAAGAAAACTATCAGGAGGATCATGAATCAAATCACATCACAACAACAGTACTGCTGGACGTAGGCCTCTCCTTAGAAAGGAGGTTTTGGCCTACCATATCACGCTGGCCAGACGGGTTGGCATAGGGTTTGTGTCAAGTTTTCCTTCTTTTTGCAGTGCTGTGCAGTTTGTTTTCTTAGTCGGCTCTTACGACACCCACGGGATAAATAGTGGTGGCGAAATTCCGTATTCTTAATCCATCACCACACTGACAAACCGTCACCTGAACCGACAACTATTCAACATCAATGCGACGGACAGTCCCCTGTGCAGGGGATGTCTGAAAGCTGAAGAAACGGCCGTCCACGTAATCCTGGAATGCGAGGGAGTGGCCACACAACGGGCAAGTATCATTCCCGATATAAAGTCGCTCCTAAAAGCCTGTGAACGCCCCAACGAGCTTGGCTGGCTCACCTAGTCAACCAATCTTCGACGCATAAAGGACCACTCTGAGTCTAAATGCGGAAACCGAAGCCCACAGCCAACCACACGGATGAATAATCATTTTATATATATATATATATTAAACTTGCCCTGACTGTCTGATACATCAATGCATACCCTAAAGGCTGGGGCTACAATTTTGGCAGCTGATGCTTTTTATGTTTTGAGCAGTCGTTTTAAGAAACGATGTTCGGGAGCTTCACCACAAATTTTAAAAAATCCCGCAAGCGAACCAGCGGGCAATACCTAGGGTTTTATAAATGTATACACAGTATATCCCTATACGAGTATGAATACAACTGAAATTTAAAAATACGAAAAAATAATGAATTTATTACTTTGAAAATACAAATTATTGTCGTCGAGTACAACAATGTTATCCTACTTATTATTTAATTGCTATTTAACAATAATGAGATGGTCAACTGATTTTTATGGTACGGAGGATGGTATGGTATGGTATGGTATGGCTACGCTGTGGCTACGCTGTGAGCTAACATTTTCCCAAAAGCTATCCATTTTTGTGGTTCATGTTAGTGAGGAACTATCACACTTGTAGGTTTAGGCTTTGAAATTGTGATTTCAATTCATGTCTAGATGTGTTATCTAAACTAATATTATAAAGCTGAAGAGTGGTGAAGAGTTTGTTTGTTTGGTTAAATAAGCTAATCTCGAGAACTACTGGTTCGAGTTGAAAAATACTTTTATTGTTGGATAGCCCCTTTGTCGAGGAAGGCTACAGGCTATACAACATCACGCTACAAGCAATAGGAGCCAAGCATCAAAGAAGATCATCAATAAATAAAAAAAGGAGGCAAATATATTCTTTTATACAATTAAGAAAAAATAGAAGATGTTTAGATTACTTTAGATTCACTAGAATTATATTGTATTATTACCGCATTCCGTCGAAAATTACAAAAACAATCATCATCATCATCAACAGCCATTAATAGTCCACTGTTGAACATAGGCCTCTCCTTAGAAAGGAGGTTTTGGCCTACTATACCACGCTGGCCAGACGGGTTGGTTTAGGGTTTGTGTCAAGTTTTCCTTCTTTTTGGAGTGCTGGTGTCCTGCGCTGTTTTGCGCCCTTAGTCGGCTCTTACGACACCCACGGGATGAATTGGGGTAGTGACATTCCGTATTCTTAATCCGTCACTACACGGACGGACAAAAACAATAAGACGAGTGATCAACTGGATTGTTACTACTAACGCCATCTGTTAGAAATCCAAAGTATTAGTATCGATGTAAACAGTATGTTGTTCAGTTAAAAATACGCCGCATTTTTCTTTTGGTAAGCACAAACAAAAAATGAGTTTATTGAGCGGCAATAGATATATTGTATGAATTATTTAGAGAACGAATTAATTTTACCTAATTCTTCGTTCTTTTTGCTAGCTTATTAAGATACAATATAGTACGCCTTATTAAGTACGTTATTATTGCAAAAAAAGTTGTGGTAAGTATGATGGCTCTATCGCCAGATTATTGCTTAGACATGGTGTTTATAGCAAGTACATATGTCATCGAAAATTCTGTAAATTGTACTTAGCCTGTAATAATCTAATCTAAATAATCTGTTGTTTACATTATCGCATTAGGTGATAATTGTATAGTGGGGAAATAAATAAAGTGCGTAATTTACTTAACTGCATAAGATAAAATAAAATTTCAAAATCTAATATATATTTAACATACCTGTATGCTTACTAAATGGTACTGGTCGAGTGTGTCGGACTCCTCATCGCTGGAGTCGTCGTACCTTCTGCGGCCAGAGTTTGGCCTGGACTTGCGACCTGAACGAGATTTGCTTGATTTCTTGCCTGTTCACAAAAATTAACCATTACCCAAACCTTAAAGATACATGAATAATACACAAAAGAAGTACCAGGAATATGTTGAAATAATATACGAAAACGAAACTTTGTGATTATGAATGTATGTTTGTTACTCAATCACGCCAGAGAGCCGTATGTAAATTTTAATTCGCGCCAATCACAACCCACGCGTTGTTGGTAACGATCGAGTAGAAGTGAAATGGCGGTTGGCGTAGTGGTTTAAGCGGTCGCCATGCCGCTCAGTGTTTGTGGGTCCGATCCCCACATGGGACGACACTTTGTGTGATTCACAAATTATTGTTCTGAGTCTGGGTGTTCTTTGTGTCCGTTTCATGTATGTTTGTAAAGTCACCGCGACACGGGTTTTATTCCTAGTGCGGGAGTTGTCTTTTTAAAACGAAACGGAAATAAACTTACACTAGGCTCTCAGAAAGGCTGAACGAATCTAGATGATATTTAGTAAAGATATAGATTAGAGTCATCATGGCACGTACGTTACGTGTTACTGTTGGAAAAATATGCGAGCAATGCCAGTAAGAATTTGGAGTGTTATACATTAAACCGACTCCAATTATATTTGGGAGCAGGGCAGAGGGATGAATATTATATTTCACACATAATCACATCAACAGCCATTAATAGTCCACTGCTGGACATAGGCCTCTCCTTAGAAAGGAGGTTTTGACCTACTGGACCACCAGGCTGGTCAGACGGGTTGGTATAGGGTTTGTGTCAAGTTTTCCTTTTCTTTGCAGTGCTGTTCTCCCTTTTATGACTATATATTTATGTAATAACTTTATATAGAATAGAACATCACAATAGATGATAGCTACTGTACTATTCTTTTACCTATCAGCAATGCTAAACTAATATTAGGCAGCATAGAAGTCTTTAATATTTGAGCAGACAGTAGTGTTGCCGTACCGTGTTGTGCCGGCTGCTGCAGCGTGGCGCTGGCGAAGAGCCTGACGGCGCGCACAGCAGCTCGACAGTTGTAGGGCGTGACGTGGGCCACGTCGCGCACCACCAGCGCTAGTGCCTCACAGCAGCGGGACAGAGCGCTGGCGCGGACCGCACGCAGCTTCACCGAGCCCTCCCACTCCGCCGCCGACTGACCTTCACCCTCCTTCTTTACCTAGAAATCACACAAAGGTTATTAATAATACTGTACCCGCGATTTCGTCTGTGTGTAGGAAACTAACAACTTATAACAGCGAGTACAAAATACGGCAAATTTTAAGTAATTTTTAAGTCTCTTTTTTTTAAAGAGACCCTTAACAAAATTTTAAATAGTTTAAAAAAATAAAGGTTTCAAAAAGAATAATTAAAATAAGGTTATAATATTCTGGGAAAAGTTCTGGATCAGCCAATGAAGTCGCAACAAAATACGTAAATATTCCATTCGGTAATGAAACCATGGTGCGATTCAATTTTCAAGCACACCGCCATCTAGGGAGGTAAGGCAAAATCTTTTCACCTTTCTACCTGTTAAATCAAATTATTTTGTAATCATTATATTCGTAACAGAGATACAGAAATAAATTTATTTATTTAATTTTTTTTGGCGCCAATACGTTCATTCGAGGTTGCTTCTCAAACTCTGAATGAGATAATGAGAGTTTTAAGAATAACTTTTTAACCAGTTCACTACTTAATAGCAGCTTTTTTCGTCTACACTATCATCGTAGAATCCAATTTTAACATTTATGATAATAGGAGGTTAAGAAGAAAGAATTAAACTATTAATACTTGGTTTCAAATTTACCAACAATAAGAAACTACAAAACTAATAAAACTATTAATAATAACTTGACACATCTGATCCCAAACTAGGCAAAGCCTGTACTATGGTAACCAGTCTGCTGATAAACATAAATACACCCCCACACAGAACAAATGATCGTGCACATCACACAATTATGTCCTGGGATGGAATCGAACCCAAGAAATGCCCGGCTTAGCAGTCAGGTGCACTAGCCACTAGACCCGTCAGGATTTACTGTTAAATAGGCGAAATAGGGTATTTCTGCATCGTCGGAAAACATATTATTGGCAACAACGCGGGAGTAATTAGTAAACTAACCTACGTACGAAAAAATCGAATGATAAATCACCGGTCTGTCACATTTCACGGTGATTTGGTCATATGCCGATCTGCCAGTCATCAAAATCAGTTTACCATTTCGAATTTAATTTAACATTAGAAAACATTCAATTTTTTTTTTCTTAATTATGCTCGAGAACCCTAAACATTTAAACAATCTAGTATTCCGAACTCAAGGCCCGACACTTCATTTTAATTAGTTGTTTATATACTTTTTATGCAGAGAAAAGGCGCTGGTACATAGAGGTAGCCAACAGCCTCCCTGACTATAAAAATTACGTGTTGGGTATGTCTTGATAACCATACCCCGCTCACCATTACAGCGAACGTGCCATCAAAGCAGCAAACACCCTTTTGGCAAATACGAGTAATGAGCAATTTTTATAACCCATTGGGTAACGAAACCATTGTGCGATTCAATTTTCGAGCACAGCGCCATCTAGGGAGGTAAGGCTAAAACTTTTAGCCTTTTTTAAACAAATTAAAAAAAAACTTTAAGTCATAAGTCTTGTAATAAAATAACGGCACGGGAAAAGGTAAATCTAATTTATAAAAGTTTTCTTTCATCAATCGGTTTATTTAGGGCTGTTCTGGTGAACATGAATGGGTGACCAAATTTTTAGGATAACTATGAACCTAATAATAGCTTTTAACCAATTAATATTCGTATTGTTTAGGCTATTATCTTAAAATTCAATTTATTATAATAAGAGTATTTGAAAACCCCTAGAATATATTTAAAAAAAAAAACATTTTGGAATAAAACTTGTGACTTACATTAATATAAGGGATAAATAGTTTTACTTATCCACGTGTATATTGTGGGAATGCCCGACTTGTTTTTAATTTTTCAATAGGTAGAGCGACTTTAGCAGTTTATGTTTTATAAACATCTATTTTTACACGCTTTATATTAGCTTCACTTGTATGTTTGAAACCGACTCCTTTGGGCGTGATTTTGACTGACTTTAAACGGTCAGAATTCGTTCAAACTTATATCGTAGATACATATATCGAGGACCGATGACAATACACTAATTTTAAAAAAAATAACAATAATTATAGTTTAAAAAAAAAGCGTTGGGTGCCTGTTGTCAATAGTAAAAAGGACCCCACGCTTTTTTCAAATTTATTTTCTATTTTTTAGTTTGGTTTTCTATAGAAAGCGTGTTTTTTAGTTTTTAAAACAATTTTTTTTTTTACACAAACGTATATATTTGTGCTGTAAATTAACTATGGAACTTGCCCGCTATTATGTGAGTGAAGTCAATTGACTTCACTCATATAGCTACGAAAATGTTTGTTCACCCACGAAAGATTTAAAAATATATGTATTTGTATAAAACTCACCAGTATCCACCCTTGTGTTTGTGGTGAGTGCGACAGTTCGCTCTCAGACGAGACACTTGTCGGTCGCCTGTCGCTTTCGTCCTCCGAGCCCTCAGAGCGGCTCGATGCGGCAGGACCTGTAAAATAAAAATTATGGTTATTTATTATATGCTTTGTATTACTGTGAAAACCTTGTGGTAGTGTCTCGTTTGAAAATTGAGTCTTTTTTAGTATTGATTCAAATTAGTCGTAGAATACGTAATGTCACCACCCCTATTTATCCCGTGGGTGTCGTAAAAGTCGACTAAGGGAAAAAACTACGCAGGACAACAGCACTGCAAAAAACGGAAAACTTGAAACAAACCCTTTACCAACCCGTCTCGCCAGGGCGGTATAGTAGGCCAAAACCTCCTTTCTAATGAGAGGCCTATGTCCAGCAGTGGACTATTAAAGACTGTTGATGTGATGTGATGAAATAGTCAAACAATATTATAGATAATTTTTAGGTATGTTAGTTTGTTGATACGATTAAAGTGATATGTTGCACTCAGAAGAATTGATTATTTAAGCAATAGAGCACTTTTTATGATGTGTATGTTTTTTATGTGAGTGTTTATCTATGTATTTGTACATAAGTATGTGTTTTATTGTAATTCATGTGTATTCAATTCATTTAATATATATTTTTCTATATTTTATAACAATTACATTTGTAAAATTAAGATACACCTTCAACTATTACTGTCTCTCTGAAACATTTTGATCCACCATAAACTTGTGTTAAAGAGATAGCACTTAGCAATAAGGCCGCCCTTTGTACGTTACATATTTAACAAAAAAATATGGAAGAGGAGGCCAATGAGCAGACGGGTCACCTGATGGAAAGCGACCACCGCCGCCCATAAACGGGGGACAAGCCTCAGGAGTGACAAACGCGTTGTCGGCCTTTGAGGTGGGAGTACGCTCTTTTCTTGAATATCGTATCGGTCTGGAAATACCGCAGACGATAACTTGTTCCAAATATTTTTATGTGTTGTGCTATTTTTTAAATAATGGTGAACTAATAAAGAATATATATATATCTAATGTGTCAGATTTTATGGATAAAATGTAGGTGTGTGGGTGTGAGGAGTGAGGAGTTAGAGCGAGCGGTGCATAGTTACTGTGGTGCGCGGCGTCGCTGGGCCAAGCGCCGGCGCCGGCGGCACACAGCAGCGCGAACAGCACGTCCCACTCCGCCGCGCTGTGCACGTTCTGCGCAGACGTCTTCACGATCTCGTACACGCCGCACGATATCTGCGCACACGCACACGTCATACCTACGGGCTACCTGTGCAATCTGCTACAAACGTCAGCTAGTTCAGAGGTATGTTATACCTGTTAAGCGGGTTCAGTAATTATATCATAGAACGTAAAAAAAAATACGGATCATGTTGTAAAAAAATATTTGAGCTAAAAACTGGCTAAAATTTAAATGTTGAAGTAAAACTCTCAAAAAATACTTTATCTTTTATTATTTAAAAAAAAACACACTACGGTGTGCGTAAAGCTTTAAAGATTTTTGTTGTATATTTAAGCAATTTTAATACAGAAATATTTTGTATAGTAATCATAGTCCAAATGATAATTTTTCGTTCGTATTGACATTAATAATGCACATAATAATAAATCTGCTCAACCAATACCAACACTTTATAATTTTACTGTTCGATTATTCACGATTTAAAGAAAGTAGATCAGTCACTCACGACATCGGCCTGCTGGTAGAAGAGCTTGTAGGGCAGCTGGAACAGCAGCGTGAGGTGGTGCAGCACGCTGGGTGCGCAGGCGTCGCAGCGCATGAGCCTCGCCGCAGTACGCAGCAGCGCCGTCACGCACCGCCGCACCACCCCGCCCCCCGCGCCCCCGCCGCCCGCCGCCCACGCCAGCACCCGCGCCATGTGCCCGCCCGCCTCCTCCCACACGCTCAGCAGACGATCCCTATATATACATATACAAAAACCTGTATCCCACTTTTACCAATTATCATTTTCTTCAACACGAGCGATCAACCTTATGCTTTTTGAACATGTAGAAAAATTCAGAGTATTTTAAAAAGAAAAGATGGTAAGACGGAAAAGAACAGGGCGGTAATGAATACTAATTGTGAATTTCATGGGAGAAACGTTTAGGCGTATTATGTCCAGTTCAAAAAATATTCAACTGTTCAATACTCAATTGATCCAGTAATACAAGACACACACGCACTCGCACACGCAGACACGCTCACGTATACGTACACACAACAACGCATGTGCGCGCACACAAGCAATCACTTTCCAATCTTTAAATTTAGAATAATTATGATTGAATTTTTCATTAAATTTAAAATAATTATTTAAATTAGAATTTGATTAGGGGTATTACATATACGTAGTCTTTATTTTTTCTTTCACGAAATTTATAAAAAAACTGTTTAATGATACACAAAAAACACGAACTATTTTTTACCCCAAAAAAAGAAAAAAAGGTGGGCAATTCGCGAACCCGGGGAAATAATTAAGTGGGGCACAATTGAAAAAAAGCAGATAGTAAACCTTACCGATTTTTTTAAGAGTCTGTCCCAGTAGTCCAAGGAAAAATACGGTTATTTTCTAGTTGTGGATTTAGCTGAGGGTGTCGCGTCCGGAGGAGTGCCTACTATCACCATAGCCCGGACCAGCTCCTGTAAAAAAACAATTATCACGTAACAATAACAATTTCAATCTTTCGAAAACTGTGAAAAAAAAAAAAAATATCCCTAATTTAGAATTTAAAGTCAAGCCTAACTCAAAAAGGCCACAAACTGAAGAGAACCAATTTAGTTATTTTTGAAAAAAAAATGATAAACTGATTTTTTTAAAAGGGTTTTTGGGGGGGGGAAACTTTTTTCCCAAAATTTTAATTTTCTATTTTCGTATACACCCCTAAACTAAAAAACCGGGGATATATCTCCCGTTTTCTTTCTACTACCCATTGTCTTTGCTCTTAGGGGGAACCTTTTTAGAAAATTTTTAAAGCTAGGGTGCAAAAGGGGTGAATTTAAAATATCATGGAAAAAAATTTTTTATTGGGGGGACGGGGGGGGGCCTCAGGGGTTGGCCATTGGGGGGGGCCCCAATTTTTGTAAAAAATCTAACTTTAAAAAAAAAATAAAAATTAAAAAATTTTGGGTTAACAAAAACCCAACTGAAAACAAAAAAAAATAGGTAGGGGGAAAAAAAAAATTGGGAAAAAAATTAAAAAAAATTTTTCACTGTCCCCGGAAAAAGGTTTAATTCCAGGGGGGGAAAGGGGAATTTGGGTCTCATTGATGAGTCCCCCGGGGAAAGTTTTGGCATTTTGGGGCTACGCTTTCCCCCAAAAGGGCCTTTTCGCCCATAAAAACCCCTTTTTCAGGGGGGGCTTTAGGGGTTTGATTCCGGGAAAAAAATTTTAAAAAACAAAAACCCGAAATTTAAAGGGTTTGAAAAATTTCCCACTTTTCGCAAAAAAAAACAAAAAATTAATTCCGGGGGGATGTACTTTTATTTTAGGGTCGAGGGGTTTTGAAAAGGTATTAAAAGGGGTTGGGGAAAACCAAAAGGGGGTCCCCCGTTTATTTTTGTGATTTTAAACCCCAAAAAATTAAATGGCAAGCAAAATTGAAAGGGGGGGACTGGGGGGGGTTGGTCTGGGTTTTTTAGGGGGCCCCGGGAACTGTTTTTTAACCGGGTGGGTTCGTTTCCCCCCCCGGGGACAAATAAGGGGAATAAAGTGTTTGAACGTTAACCCATTTGTTTCTGGGGTCGGGGTTTTTAATTTACCTATGTATGTTTTTGAGGAGTCTGGTTACCAGGTTCTGCCTGGTTTGGGATCAGACGGCCGTGTATGAGAATTGTGTAGTTATTATTACTGTGAGTGTTGATCTCTGTCATATCTTTAGATATACAGGCGTGAGTATATGTGGTAGTGTTATGTATATATTACCTGATTCACCGAGTGCTATGTAAGAGTACAAGCTGGATAGTAAGCCCGCCTCTGATCCTCTCGCAGCCTCTCTGATTAGCGATACTGTTCCGTTAGGTGCTAAGTAATCTTCAGCTTCTACAAGGCACTGGAAACATAATTGTGAGACTATAATATTAGGTTCATTGAATATTAAAAAAAAAACTTTATTTGAAACTAAAGGGTTTATAAATAAACTATATAATAAATTGGACAATAATATTTTAATATAGAATACGGTTTGACTATCAAACAAATCAGTTTGCTTTTATTAAAATTTCAAAATGGTCGATTTGTATGAACTTCCATGAAATTTTGATGTGTATTATTATTAGTATTTATATAGTAGTTTGACTTCACTTCAAAACAGTGGAGGGTCTTAAATAAAATGCATGTGAAAACTCAAGTTTCATCATCATCATCATAAACAGCCTTTACTAGTCAACTGCTGGACATAGACCTCTCCATAGAAAGGTGGTTTTGGCCTACTATACCACGCTGGCCAGGCGGGTTGGTAGAGGTTTGTTTCAAGTTTTCCTTCTCTTTGCAGTGCTGTCGTCCTACATAGTTTACAACTATGTAAATTCATAGAAAATCCATCTATATGGGTAATACGTTAAGAGATGAACCTATTTTGTCTCTTTTGGAAACGATTGCATTGCTAAGGTAGTAACCCACCACAACCAATTGCAATGTTACACACTGCACCAATCCCAAGTAAAATGAAAAATGGACAGGAATGATACCGATGTATCCATCAACAGTCTTTAACAGTCCACTGCTGGACATATACCTATCCTTATAAAGGAGGTTTTGGCCCACTCTACTGGCCAGACGGGTTTGTATAGGGTCTGTGTCAAGTTTTCCTTCTTTTCGCAGTTTTGTGTCCTGCGTAGTTTCCTCCCTTAGTTGGCTGTTATAATACCTACAGGATGAATAGGGATAGTGACACTGTGTATTCTTAATCCGTCATCATACAAACATGTTAAGGAATATAAGCATAATATAATTAATTCATAAATAAGAAAACAAATTAGAGTAAGTTGACTTGGCTGAGATTTGACCGCATGGATGGCGTAGAGGTTTAAGCGGTCGCCACGTCACTTACTACTACGAAAAGTGTCGTAGGTTCGATCTCTACATGGGACGACACTTTGTGTCATCCACAAATTGTCGTTCTGAGTCTGGGTGTTCTTTGTATCAGTTATATATATTCAGGATATATTCCTAATGCATCCAGGACAGTAGTCGGAGGTGGGCAAGTACCTTGGGCAGCAGGCGGCCTATGTAGAGCGTTTTGATTATCTCGAGTAGATGGCGCCACGAGTCGCGCACGCAGTCGGCGTGGCGCGCCGCCAGTGCGCACGCGCGCCGCAGAGCCAGCTGCGCCTTCGTCGCGCCGCCCAGCGACACGCCTGCATCGCACACGTATAGCTCTCATCACCTACACTTAGCTTTGGAATATTTATATTGTCATATCGTCGTCCTCGCGGTGGTCGACATCAGATATCGTAGAAGATACAATGAATCGAGATAAAAGATCCCCATACAAACTTGCACCCTTTATTAAGGATAATTTAAAAAAATAGTAACAACCTAGGATCCCTCCCTAGGATACCTCCTACTGAAAATTTTCTTGGTAAACAATGAAGAAGAAATTTTTACGAATAAAAGATAATGAACCTATGGCGATGTAGGTGGCGTGCTGCGGCGCCAGCAGGCCGGTGAACTTGCACAGCGTGAGCAGGATGGTGTCGATGGAGATGGCGTCGGGCGGCAGCGCGGGCAGGCGCGCCACCAGCGCGGCGCAGCGCTCCATGCCCAGCCGCGCCGCCACAGCGCTCGCCCCGTCCCCAGCGCCTGCCCCTCCCACCGCTTCCAGCTCCTCGGCCGTGGGGGGCGGGGCGCGCTCGAAAGCAGCCGACAGCGCTGTCACCTATTCCAAAACTTTTACTATTATTTTTGACTTAAAAATCAGATAATTAATGCGAAATGTTTGCGACTCTACTAAAAACAATGTAAAATAATAAAAAAATATTATTATTAAAAATTGAAAAAGGTAATCTTAAACACGCATGCGAGTAAAGACGTATATCAAAATTAATTAAGAACACCATTTAAAGGAATTATGAAAAAAAAAATACGGTTATTTATCACAATTTTTTTTGTCAATGTAACTGTAAATCATTAGGGTTGTGCAACTTAAATCGCATTCTATCGAGTCGTTCTAAGAGTCGATATTGAAGTAACCGAATTAAGGACGGGGAGAGGAGTAAGTACTGACGGTGGGCGGGCAGCACACGGCGAAGAGCCTGGCGTGTATGGGGTGCGCGGGCAGCACGGAGCGGTAGAGCGCGGCGGGCGCTCCGCCCCGGCGCTGCAGCACGCGCCACAGGTACGCGTCGCGCACCGCGCCCACGCGCTCCGCCGGCATCACCATCTCCTCGTTCCTGGACCACGATCACACATCACTCATTCATCTATTATGACATTACTAGCTCTTGCCCACAGCTTTTTACGGTCGATGCTTAATTGATTAATGAGTATTCAAATTTTACGATGATCGATTTAGTAGTTACACCAAGAAAACAGTCCTTTATAGTCCACAGCTGGACATAGGCCTCTCCTTAGAAAGGAAGTTTTGGCCTATCTTTGGCTTAGTAGTTAATGTACACAAAACTAAATAAATGAATAAAGACATTTTTTTTAAAAGACAACTTGTGCATTAGAAATATATCCTATGTCGTGTAAACATGCATGAAACGGACACAAAGAACACCCAGACTCAAAACAAACAATTTGTAGATCACACAAAGTGTCGTCCCATCTGGTAATCCGACCCACAACAATCAGCGTAGTAGGAAGCAAATATTCAATGTAATGCATAGAATTATTCACACTTAACAAAAAATAATCCACAACTTTTATTGTCCCAGTCTTTAATGTCAGTCAGTCTTTAATGTTGCCTTTACCATGCTTTATTACCAAACAAAGCTCCATTACAAAAAAAAATACAATATCCTAGAAGTTTCTAAAGGAAATTTCGAGTCAGTCAAGTCTTTACAATAAAGTTAAATTTAAAAATAGAACATCCCATCCCTGCTTTCATTCTGTCAACCTTGGCCATTACATAATTAGTTCATATAAAAAAAATGCGCTCAAGACACAATCCCATACTTACTTGATAGAATGGAACACAGCTTCCAGCATGGCCTGGTCGAAGTCACCAGATCCATTACATCCTCGTAGATTCTTGACAAAGTCCTCAACAGTCATGGGGACGTTGAGTTTCTTGGCGTTGTGGTTGTGTTGGTCCATGTTCAGCATTATCACAGCGTAAGCGAGACGGAACGCCGCATCTGTGTTCGCGAATGGTTCCCCATTTGTTGTCTAGAACAGAATTAGTGACGTATAAGGAGTTTATACCACGACCTTACAGAATAGCAGTGTTGAACAATTCTTTCGTTGATTTACACTGAATGAATGAGGTTACTACAGCCCAAACCTTCCCCTCCCACCCTGATCCTCAGAGAGGAAGGGGGGTTACAGGGCGGCAATGCACTTGTGACTCTTGAGTTGCATGTGTCTATGGAAGGCGGTTATCACTTACCATCAGGTGACCTGTTTGCTCGTATACAATCATCGGGAAACCAGGTGTACCCTAGAAAGGAAATCCCTGATACCCCGAGCCATCTACGGCTTGCAGATGACCCACTCTTGTTTGGGAAACAATTCTGCCCTAGCAACATGTGCCTACGCAGAATTTCACGATGATAGATGGAGTAGTTCAGGCATGATCATAACACACAAACTCACATGCCACCTCTCGGCGAACCTCTCCATGACGAGGAAGATGAGCGGCGCCTCGCCGGGCAGGCGGAAGGTCTCGAGGTAGAGGCGCAGCGCCTGGTCGATGCGCAGCCCCGCGTAGTCGAAGCTGTCGGCGAAGGCGCCCAGCACGCTGGGGCCGCCTTCCTCGTCCTCGCCGCGGGACGAGCGCTTGCAGATGTACTCGCCTGTGTACGTCATCACTCATCAGTCACCACAACACTTTAGTTTCAAACAATTAATAGGGAATATGCATGTATTTTTTTTATTTTTTTAACGATTCTACTAGTTATTACATTACCAAAAATAAATATAACACATCCGAAATATAAATCGTTAAGCAAAAAAAAAATTTTTAAAATCACTGTCATTTTGGGGCAATTTGAACACGTCCATTTTGGCGCGCTTTTTTTTGTGACGTCAAATTACACTTTCATACGAATTCGATGTCAAACAACGGGAGTGAAGTCACCAAAGTTTCTGAAAGTTAAAAAGTGAGTGATAAAATTAACTTATTACCAATGGAAAGCCAATAAAAACATATTATAAATATTGTGCCGTTCCTTTGTGACCAAATAATATCAAAACTGCACCTGACAAAGTATATTCAGTCATTGTGTTGAGTCTTTCTACACGGGAATTTAATAATTTAACACTGAAAACGTATTACGTTATTAACTTAAAATGAAACAATCACCAGAAACCAAATATTACAAATACACACAACTTGTTGACACTCTTGACAGTGTAGGTTGACGTCACGTTTTATTCAATCAATAGCGTTGCGTTTTAGAAATTTGCGAGGAAATCTTAAAAAAGCAATTTTTGATGATTAAAATTTCACTATTAAATTATAATAAATTTCAAAAATAATTGTAAGGGTATCTTTTTTTAGTAATAAAAATTACAAATAAAAATATTTTGTCCATTTTGGTGTCACGTGCATATTCCCTATTGCTAATCTCTAATTGTAAGACCAATTATCTTATACTTTAATGAAATATTTGACACTAAATCAATATTATTTGGTAATGAACTCACCAATCATCTTTTTGTCTAGATCAGGATTCTCTCTAAGGAAAATGGCGACTTGGTGAGGCTCTAGAGGTGTACTCAGGACTCCGTGCTCCTGTAGAAACTCTATGCCACGCTCCGGTTTCTGGTTGAATAGTTCTGTACCTTGGGTCACCCACTGAAAATAGAATGTAATGCATTGTTATCCGTATTCTCTTTTTGTTACACCTGTACATAACGGTACGGTAAACATTGTGAGATCTAAGCCTGCAACAATATATATCTTCAAAAACAAATTAATAGAAGTATGAGTTAAATACAAAAACTAAATAGGGACTAAGAACTCGATATTTCGTAACTAGACGAAGGGATACGTGACGCACCAAACACCCTACATACACGTAATCGCCGGGCGCGTACGCGATACGCGGCCGCTCACGTAAAAAGTCCAAAAAGTCGACCTTTTTTAAATATTGTTGTATAACTTTTTAAACGTTACGTTTTTTTATTTTAACCCTGTACCTCGATATCACGTTAAGTCAATCCTGTGATGCAAAAATTTTAAGCTCTAATAAAAATCTAAAAATAATTAGAAATTTAATGAAATTCGACAAACCTTTTTCATATTTTTAATATTATCCAGTTCAGCTTCAGTGGGTAAATCAGAAGTCTGCTTATGTCTGCCAATCCTGCCTCCACCAAAATACTGGCTAATATCATGAGTCACGAGGTCGGACACCACAGACGCGTCATCCAGGCCTCCAAGCTCTAGAGATATATGTCCTTGGGCGTCTCTCTCTCTCTCCTCCTCACCGTTTGGTATCTCTATCTCTGTTTTCACTTCTTTAGTTTGACAGCCCATTTCGATTTGCCTCTATAATAGTCATTGTGCTTCTAATGATAAAGTATGTATATTATAAGCTGTAGAAGAGACTACATTTTTAGATAGTAATTTAGTTAATTCTTCGAATATATTTAGGCAGTAAACATCACAGTCATAGTTAATATACAGTTCAGCACATAATCCTGGTATTCTGAACATTTGAGCCAGACTTTCTAACGCTAGATGGTGGATTCTTTCAATTCATATATGGCCTTAGTTGTGTCCGCTGATATTATTTCTATTATTTTTCTTAAAGAATGCTTCCATTTGAAACTTTTAAGTGTGTTCGTAAAGCTTCGAAAAGGAGGAATGAAACTTGCAGGTCTAGTGCGATATAGATTCTTTCTGTCTTAACTGAAACAAAAGAAACGTTATTTGGGGTCTAA